GTTTTCAACCGAAACTGTGCATATATGCATTATTTCGGTTTTTTTCGTATGCATTATTTCGGTTTTTTTCATATGCATTATTTCGTATGCACAGTTTCCATATGCACAATTTCAGGGTGCCTACTGCGAACAACGAGAGAACGGCAGAAACCATCTCGAGTTGCCATGAGTGCAAGCGCAGGTATATAAGGCCGCTGCTACAGCGCACCAGAAGTTTAGTTGCGCATCAGCAAGCTACAAGCTCAGTTGTGTTAGCAAGTTTGCTTTATCGAGTATTGTAAAGTGTTGTTATTGCATTTGTGAGAATTTTAAAGTGTTTGTTGTGCAATAAACTTAATTATACTGTAATTTAGTTATGTTGAGCGTTTATTTAATAATCCAGCCATACGAACGCAAAGGATTTTGGGAAATCCGTCAAGTATTCAAGGATAATCGTAACAATATTATAGTTTTTTTTTGTTTTTTAATTTTGGTTATTTTTTATAAAAATAAAGTTCATTCTTTAAGGAAACCCTGTTGTTGTTGTTATTGTAGCGGCTACAACAACCCCGCCCAGATCGGTTGGTTACTCAGTCGTTGACGTCAAGTTCCACTATCGGCAGCCCTAGGAAGCGTGCAGCTTCTATTGGGTTGGTCCACAAGGGTTGTCGGGTTTTCCAGGAATGCGAAGAGATGTTTCGAGTCATGTGGGGTCTCTCCGCATGCCGGACACTCATTTGGCACATCGTCATTCAATCTACTCAGGTAGGAGTTTAACTTGCTGCAGTAGCCAGAGCGGAGTTGGGCTATTGTGGTTCGTGTCTCCCGAGGCAGATGAAGCTCCGTCTCGTCTATGTCCGGAGGCGGTATGCCTAGAACGGCATTCACAGGTCTAGAGTCTACATAACTCGAGACTGACTCCCTGTGAATGCCGTTCAGGGCCAGTCGGTAAGCTGACGGGTCCAGAGGTTGCTTGATGAACCTCTGGACTTCGTCCGTCAGTTCATATATATGCCTCCTGACGTGCGTAGGCGAGGGCTCCTCTGCAAGCAGCTGTCTGTTTGGGTGGCCACTTCTGTGGCTCCCGATCAGAAACTGCTTGCAGAGCATTATGTTGTGCTCCTTTATGGGGAGCATTTGTGCCTCGTTGTGGAGATGATGTTCGGGCGACATCAGGAGGCATCCTGTCGCTGTCCTGAGTGCGGTGTTCTGTACAGTCTGTAGCTTCGTCCACTGCGTCCAACTAGGCCCCGGAGACCACACTGGCGCTGCGTAGTTTAAAACAGGAAACCCTCGTAAATCCCAAGTTTCAAATTTCGTGAAATATGTAATAAAAATTCAACAATCTTTCGTAAAAATTTCGAGCTTCTTTAATTAATTTCCTAAAAAGATTCCGAGAATGTCGTTTTGTAGCCCACTGAATTCTAGTAGAATAAAGTACAATTTGTAAATGGCTAAAAATTACGGTTGATTTTTTAGAATTTTTTTCTCAAAGATGTTATGGTTTTCTTCCATATAAGAAAAATTTTGGGTATTCGTTGTATGGAAGCAAATGGGACATAAAAAATTCTAGGAGATCAAGCGTAATTTTTAGCCATTTGACAATTGTACTTTGTTCTATTAGAATTCAATTGGCTACAAAACTGCATAATGTAGGGTAGCAAGACACATACGTAGTTTATACAGTATTAAACCTTTTTGAGTACTCCCCGGAGGTGAAATCTGATCAGGGTAGATAATGAGAAAGGGCATGAATTTTGAGGCTCACTAAAATCTACTCATAATGTTGGAGAAGCTCCGGGTAATGGACCATCGAATGTGCTAGCTGAACGTATTACCACCATAACCAACGGAGCCTCCAAGCAAATGCATGTCCTGAATTTATACGGTAGCAATTCATAGCAATTACTATTGTATGTGTGTATGATTCATAGGCCCCTATTACGAGTTGCATTCGATTTTCGATCTTCGCTGGCTATCGAAGATCGAAAGTGAAATTCGTATTATGAGCTATGCAAGCGTATCGAAATTTTCGTTGAGTATCGAATTTTCTGTCGAACAGAATTTTGCTTTCGTTGGTGTAGCGAAATGTTAGAAAATTTTAAAAATGTATGATTTTGCATTTGTTTTCTTACTTTTTGGCGGCTAGACACTAATTTTAAACAATTTATATTAGTTTCAAGCAGTTCTAACGTGAATAGTAAACACAAGCTCGTAAGTCTGGCTTTACATATGAAAGAAAATCCCTATACGCTGTTGACACGATCTCTTAAAACAAAATCATGGAGCTGTTTATAGTTTTAATACATTTTAAATAGATTTGGATCACAAAATTTCTTAAATATATTGTATGTCAAAATATATTCAAAAGACTGCACTTAAACTCTCACGTTTTCTGCTCTTGGCCAGTTTTTTAAACCCTCATGCTCTGACGAATCGTTCAACCAGAACTCCGTTGTGCTAATTAAATTTTTTTTTACCACGCTTTTATAAACTCACTTTCTTTTTTATTTCATTTTAATTAGAAAAAATTTACAAATGTACATATGTATAAGCCCTCTATTTAGTTTGCTCGATCTGTAAACAAAGCTTCTCCGTGGTGAAAAATATACTATTGTGAACAACCTAAACGAGCGAAGAGCGAATGAGCGCCATAATACCAAATGAAAATTCACACAGTCGAAGATCGAATGCAACTCATAATAGGGGCCATATTTGTGACATTCTATATTTTGATGTTAAGTATTATTATTATTATTATTATTATTTAGATGCTGGTATGAATACCAGCACTAAATGATCTATTTGAGCATTGGCTGCCGAGACCATCAGCTCTGAATTGACTGTTGTTTAAGGTTGTGTTTATTAGATTGTCATTTCTATGTCTTTGATAAATTTGGCGATTTTTTCAATATTAGCAAAGCTAGGGGTAGCTAGGACGTCGTTTATATTCTCTGTGTTAAATATTGCTTTTTTTGTG